ACCAGCCCACTTCCCTGCAAGTAGCACTGGACTTCAAGGGGGTGACAGGATAACACGTTCTTCCCTCAGCGCTGATCAGAGTGGGAGAGGCAGCGTTGTCTAATCCACTGCTGGCAGGAGCTCTGTACGAAGCAGCAGGTTCGCCTCCTCCCCGGTGAAGAAGGGATGCAGAGGAACGGCTGGGAGCTTGTTTTCCTTCCGGCACAGATCAGCAGGGGAGCAGCAGCCTACTGCCCTCCCATCCTAGCTGCTGACATTCCCTTGCAGGAATGTAAATTCATTGTGCCACATACTCAAGGCCCCAGCACAGCAAGAACCAGGCTTGAGCACATGGTACAAAAATGTCACATTTGCTACTGAGTTGTTTGTGTGCTAATGACCCCCCGGCCCATTTTTTAAAACAGTTGTGAATGAGATTTGTTTTCCCTGATAATGAATCTATAGAGGAGACATTGCTGCCATCAAGAAGTATAAATGGCTGCTTCCCAGCACTACATTTTGCTAGCTTGTTCCTTGAAACTAGAAAAGCTTTGTCATTCATTCTCCTTGCTCCCCAAATAGGCTGCTGTCCCCTACAGATCACCTGGCCCTTTGCCCACCTCTAAAAAGCACTGGTGTTTATGAGTAGCTAGCACAATTGGTGGTGACCCAAAGTGAGGACTTATTAATGGGGCCTGATTTTCAGAATATGCTGAGCACCCACCCTCTGAAAGTCAGTCCCCTGTAAAGTGTCTCAATTTGGGCTATCAAAACTGTCATTATCATAGAATCATAGAATAATAGGACTGGAAGGGACCTCAAGAGGTCATCGAGTCCAGCCCCCCGCCCTCAAGGCAGGACCAAGCTCCACCTACACCATCCCTGACAGATGTCTATCTAACCTGTTCTTAAATATCTCCAGAGAGGGAGATTCCACCACCTCCCTTGGCAATTTATTCCAATATTTGACCACCCTGACAGTTAGGAATGTTTTCCTAATGTCCAATCTAAACCTCCCCTGCTGCACTTTAAGCCCATTACTCCATGTCCTGTCCTCAGAAACCAAGAGGAACAAATTTTCGCCTTCCTCCTTGTGACACCCTTTTAGATATTTGAAAACCACTATCATGTCCCCCCTTAATCTTCTTTTTTCCAAACTAAACAAGCCCAGTTCATGAAGCCTGGCTTCATAGGTCATGTTCTCTAAACCTTTAATCACTCTTGTCGCTCTTCTCTGTACCCTTTAATTATGCTCGTTACAGTAGTGTCTCGAGGTCCCAACTGAGATCGGGACCCCACTGGATGTACCATAGTTAGGGATGGTCGCTACCCCCAGAACTTCCAATATAAATCGAAAAATGGTTGAAAGGGAAATGGAGGCACAAAAGATGATTTGCCCAAGGTCATATGTAACCCACACACCTTCTGGCTTTAGTGGACTATGGTACCGAGACCAGCTGGAGAGAGAAAGAACAAGTCTGATCTACAGCCTTAGTGGAAAGCTAGCTGGCTTTTAGCTCAGGCTGTAGAGGCTCATGCACTAAGCTCCAGAAGTCCCAGGTTTGGTTCCACCCATCGGAATCATAAGTCTGGGCTCATCCAGGTGTTCAACTGGGTTTCTCCGAAGCTCGGGATGCACTTTCTCAAATCGGGGAAGTATGTTACCCACATGCTCGGTGGCTGTGTCTAGATTGGCAAGTTTTTCCGCAAAAGAAGCTGCTTTTGCTGAAAAGCTTGCCAGCTGTCTACACTGGCCGCTTGAATTTCCACAAGAACACTGACTTCCTACTGTCTGAAATCAGTGCTTCTTGAGGAAATACTATGCTGCTCCCGTTTGGGCAAAAGGGCCAGTGTAGACAGCTCAGATTTGTTTTGCGCAAAAAAGCACATCTAGATTGGCACAGATGCTTTTCCGCAAAAAGTGCTTTTGCGGAAAAGCGTCCATGCCAATCTAGACTCTCTTTTCCGCAAATGCTTTTAATGGAAAACTTTTCTGTTAAAAGCATTTGCAGAAAATCATGCCAGTCTAGGCATAGCCACTGTGTGTAGTTCACTGACACACCAAGTGACAGTGAGTCCATTTCAGAGAGAGAGAATGAGTCTGCTCTACAGCCTTAGCTGAGAGCCAGCTGGCTATTCGCTCATGTGGTAGAGACTCATGCACTAAGCTCTTCAGCTCGCATGTTTGTTTCCACCTGTGAGTGTTACAGAAAAAGCAGCTCTGTGCCAAGAATAGCATCCAGGTCGAGACCTTTGTGTTAACCACCACTTGCTGCTGCCGCTGAAAACACTGGCCACTGTAGTAGCTTTGTGGCTTGACCTACTGTGTGTTAAGCTGCAGTGCAGTTTGCCGGGGCGAGCTCTGCTTTGTAATGCAAAGAAACAGTCTGAAGAAATTGAGTTAAACCAAAGTGAATTGGCCCTCAATAAATCTTTTGTTTGTAACCACCTTTAAGCAAACACTGGAGAGCTGAATGAATCGCTTTCCTACTTTTATTGCAAGACAATATCAATCCCCCAGTTGCCTCACTGCACTGCAATGGTAGATTAGAGGTATAGATGTATGTAAAAAGAAGAGGAGGCTAAATGACATGAAGCATTGAGAAAGGAATGAAATGATATCGGCTCAAAATAAAGCGTCATTTCTTTATTCAAATCCAAAAGCCTTCTCTCAGGATGTTTGAATTTCAGTAGTACTCGTGGAATACCAATGGCTTTTTAAAGAGGCATTTGTGTGTCTCTGCACTTGAACGTATCTGATACACATGAGTGAAGCACAAAATCACTGGAGAAAGGAGTGAGCAGCTCAGTTGTAGCCCATGTTTAACCCAGAATATTATACAGGCTGCACCTTTCTAAACTGGGAGTCTCTAGTTAGGCAACATCTGTGGTCTGGGAGGACCACAGGCGTTCCTGGATGACTCTTATCCAGGCGCGGCAGCAGCTGGGTCCCCGTAGGGCTGGTGGTAGTGGGGCTGGGGCTGTGGCAGCCCGATGGGCAGCAGGGCTGGTACAATCTGGCAGGGGAAGATTGGCCAGGGCCCTACAGCCTGGCACAAGCTGCATGCCACCCAGGCTGTGGGTTCTTTCAGTGGCATGGGGATAAGGCTGCGGCAACCTGGCAGGGGCAGCCGGGCTGGGCCACAGCAGCCTGACATAAGAGTCAGGGCCACAGCAGTGGAGCTGAGGCCATATGTTGCCCCAGTGGACAGCAGGGTTGGAGCGGGGCAGCCTGGCTGGGGTAAAACGAGCCAGCAACAGGAAGGGGCAGAGGACTGAGGGGCCATAGCAGGGATTTGGCAAATTCCCTCCTTCGGGACTGGTCAGGTCCTGAGGGTGCTGGCCCATGGAGATACAACCTGTACAGGGTGGATGAGGGAACTCGATAAATATATAAAGAATATGTCCATCAATGGCTATTTATCCATCTATGGCTGTTTGTCAGAAGCTGGGGACAGACAGGGGGATGGATCACGTGATGATAGTGGGATGGATCACTTGATGATTATCTCTTTCGTTTATTCCCTCTGGGGGACCTGGCATTGACCACTGTCGGATGTTCAATGGATACTGGACTAGATGGACCTTTGAACTGGCTAAGCATGGCTGTTTGTATGTTCATATTGGACCAACTTCTGTTGGCGAAAGAGGCAAGCTTTCAAGCTTACATGGAAGAACTTTGTCTAAGCTAGAAAACCCAACCCTTTCATGAGCAGAAATTGGTCCAATGAAAGCTATTACTCCACTCACCCTGTTTCTGGATAAGGGAACAAAACAGATTTGCAGCGTTAAATATTGCCCTTGCATTGGGGAAGGTGAGTCTCTGTTTTTAGAAGGTCTTGGGGATCTTCAGGGAAAGGCATGCTGCCAGTCAGGATGACTTTTGTAAAATCCATGTTCCTGAATGTGCAGGAACGATGGGTCTGTGGTGAAAGCAAGAGATTGGTACTCAGGAGATAATATCTAGAACTTTTCAGCCCTACATCTCAACACATTTTATAATGGAGGTCAGACTCATTGGCCCCATTTTACAGCTAGGGAAAGCAGAACCACAAAGACATGAAGTGAGTTCCCTAGCAGACCTATTCAATCACAATTGAGTGCTTTGTGGGTTTGATTTCTACTTCTGTCACACACTACCTATAAGAACCTGAGATCAATCACCTTATCTTTGTGTGCCTCAGTTCCATATCTGTAAACTAAGGATTATAAATTGGGAATCCTTTGCTTACTGTGTAATCTCTTTGGGGCCGGGGCAGTTTCTCACTGTGAATATGTGCACAATGGACTCACCTGGAGACTTAGGGTGTGTCTAGACTATAGGGTTTTGTCGACAAAAGTGGGCTTTTGTTGACAAAACTATACCTGCGTCTACACTACCGCCGCATTATGTCGACAGTAAGTCGACAGAATGAGGCAGTTTTGTCGATGGTGGTAAACCTCATTCTATGAGGAATAATGCCTTTTGTCAAGAGAGTTATGTCAACAAAAGGCGTTATTGCATCCACACTGTGCTTTTTCAACAGAGAGTGTCTACACTCTCTGTTGAAAAAGCGGCTTTGTTGACAGAACTGGCTGTAGTCTAGACAATCTTTGTCGACAGAGGTTGTGTTGACAGTATCTGTCAACAAAGCCTCTGTCGACAAAAGCCTGTAGTCTAGACATAGCCATAAAGTACTACCATGATAATAAAGAAACTTATTAGGAACTTGATACGGCATCCTATTAAATCCTACTGACAATGTTAATTCAAATTTGTTTGAAACACTGAGACTTCATAGAATCATAGAACCATAGAGCTGGAAGAGACCTCAGAAGGTCATCAAGTCCAGCCCCCTGCTCTAGGCAGGACCAATCCCAACTAAATCTTCCACCTGGACTTCCACCTGGACTGAAAACTCTGTGAATGGAGAGCAATGTCAAGTTAGAGGGGCTATCTAGGGTATCCAAGGTGGGCATCAGGTGTTTTAATATCATCCTTAATAATACGGTGATTTTTTTCCACATTGCTTTGCATGAAGAAGAAATGGAAGCAGTCCAGCTCCTGGAGGTTGCTTGTATGTGAGGCCCTATAATATCTCTGTCCAGGTGCAGCCCTCAGATGGAGAGATGGAGAAAGAGCTTCCTGTGCAGCCACAAATTGTTTTTTTGGATAAGCAGGTAGCGATTTCCTCCTGAGGAGTATGGTTCTGTTAATTCTGTGCACTACCGTCAATCCAAGTATTTGAAACTCACAAGATTGACTTAGAAATACTCGAGAGTTTTTTTAAATAAACGTTGGGTTCTTTTTATCTGGGATATACTCAAGTGATGTTTTTTAAGCTTTTCTTCTCAGCCATAGGGACTAAAAATGACCTTTAAAAAGTTAGAAAGCTGAGATCCTCATGCAGTCTCTTGATTCCTGCAATCTCTTGATTCCTATTCAGTAAAGAAAAACATGAATGATTATGGGACTCCTGATAAAATCACTAACCCTGGCACAACTGATGTATGTTGGGGTTTACTGTTATTCCCCCATCTCCCTATTTTCCCTTTATCCTAACTTGGGAAAACAGTGGGCAAATAATTATATGGATCCAGATATGAACTTTTCCAATGAGGCATTGCCAGAGCCAGTGTTTGGAGAAGCTTGTGTCTGGATCCAGAGCTGGACTCCGTGGTTTATGGCATTGCCATTCCCAGGTATTCAAAAATCACAAGTTGGGCCTCCCAAAATCTAAAAATTGGATTTCAAATCATGACATCTTAAGAAATGTACATTTTAAAGTGGAGAGTCTCTTTTAATCACATTCATTTAGGAACTAAGGCTTAGCCAGTGTTTGGAGAAGCTTGTGTCTGGATCCAGAGCTGGACTCCGTGGTTTATGGCATTGCCATTCCCAGGTATTCAAAAATCACAAGTTGGGCCTCCCAAAATCTAAAAATTGGATTTCAAATCATGACATCTTAAGAAATGTACATTTTAAAGTGGAGAGTCTCTTTTAATCACATTCATTTAGGAACTAAGGCTTTCTGGGAAGCACCAAATAATGCAAAACTCATGATAAAACAGTGAGAATTGGCAAATCTAGGTGTAGATTCATCTGTGGTAAATTCAATATTTTTACGATGCCATTTGGAGCACACAGTATGTAAATATGTGCTGTTCTTGCTGCTAGGGATTAATAGATGAAAGTTGCCCTAGAAAATAAAAGGATTCCCTTTTTCTCCGAGGGAAAAAATGAACAAACCTTTTATTCCCTTTTCTTCTTCCTAGGGTCGGAGAGTTGAGGCATTAGGTCTGCCCTCAGAGCCATGGGTCATGACAGCCTGTCTCAAGGGCTCTTCAGAGGCTGTGTTGAAAGGTTTGGATATGGAGTTTTTTTTCTTATAGAATGTTTAGACTTAATGACTAGAATTTTAGGCATTGTCTTGAAGAAAGAATCAGCTTGAAAGGCTCTCATTGGGCTAAAAATAGACTGCTGGGTTTGAAGAACTGTGATGGGCTGCTCCCATGGGCGTTAGAAGAGAGGCGTGAGAATGTGTGTCTTCCATGCCCTGTCAACTTGAAGAGACACTACCCAGTAGATTTTTGGTTCTGGATATTCAACACTCCAGACATCTGGAGAAGTGGGCTGTGCCCCCAAGTGCTCATGATACCATCTACGTGTTTTGTTTGTCTTTAAAGTGCTACCAGACCATTTGTTGTTTTTTAAGACTACCCAGCAGAGAAGACCCAAAATGTAGATTTGGAGTATGGGGGGGATGAAGGTAGAATGGAGTGAGAATTATAAATTCAAACAGCCCAGTGCTAGGCTGGAGTTTGTAGGCAAAGTTTTATTAAAGTCAATGGAGCTATACTGAGAGCAGCAGAGTATTTGCCTTAATAGGAATAGACATATCTATGTGTCTTTGGTTTTTAATGTAGTATATTCCAATGAGAAAATGTCTTTGTGAGAGACTTATACATTCCCTTGCTGGCCCTGATGTAGCACAATACTTAAGCACACGTTTAACTGTAAGTGGATATTCCCATTCAAGGTATTAAGGCTCACTAGTCACATGCTTACATGTAGGTCCTTCTAAGTACTGCCCTGCACTGTGAATCCAGACATCAGAGTGCCGTTCATGAAACTGTGGAAGAGAAGCTGTTTATACAGGCAGCATAAAATTGACCAAGCAAGTTTCACTTATGGAGCTGAATGAGGTTCAAACAAGAGCTGGGCAAATAATGGATTAAAAAATTAAAAGAAAATCATTTCTGTCAAGTCAGAAATTATTTTTTTCACCAAAATTTTAGCCAATGGAAAAATTACAAAAAAAAATCAAGTCTGGTGAAAATGAAATATTCTAACTTTCGGTTCACCTTGGCTAAAACTACATTTTTCCAGCTCATGTTCAAAAAATGAACAAGCAGTGACCCTGGTGTAAAGTCAGCTCCTGCCACATGAAGGTTTTGGGTTCACAATCAGACCCAAAAGTGCCTTAATTTTGACTTCTCAGGACCATTTTTCTAGGAAAATGGAAGGGGCAGTCAGTTTCCATGGTCTAGATCAAGAACCACTTATTGGACTGGGATCACTGGGTAAAATTCTGTGGCCTGTGCAGTGTACAAAAATGATCCATTTGGGCCTTAAAAAAATTATGAATCTATTAATTTCTTGGCCTACCTGCTCAGATGATCAAAGGCTTGGCCATTTCCTCACTTTGGCCTATCTCTATGGAAATCAAAGGAGCTATGGCAGTTTACAGCAGCTGAGAGGACATTCCACAATATTAGTTGGTTTTGACACATGGACACTTTTCCACAGAACAGCCACTTAAAGATGCTTAATGTTTCAGTCTAAGCTTGATCGAAACGAACAACCTAGAAGTGAAATTCGGATATCTCCTGAGTCGTATGTCTCTGTTTCATCTCACTTTTCAATCATCTTTATAAAAATCTGCTATTCCTTTGGAAAGAACAACTCCCCCCCCCCCCCCCCCCCCCGTGAAGTAAAAAAAGAGAAATTAAAACCAAATGGGAGTAAAAGACTCAAATAAAGAATAGTCACCGAAAAGAAATGCACTTTACATTCTTTAAAAGATACATGCATCAAATTAATAGTCAATAAACTCCACCAAAGAATGAACTGTGCTGTACAGATGTTCTGCATGTAATAGTTTGCTGCAGTTTTTCCTTTGACAAACGTCCTTATTGCGCTCGTCTTTTGAAGCATATGAAAGCAGCATTTAATCGAAATGGGTCTGTCTAGCGCATTGAGCCTGCTTCATCTGACAGCAGTCAAACTGCCTCATGGAAAGTAGTTTAGCTCCAAATTAGCTTGCTTCTGCGTTAAATACCAGCTTGCCTCAGAGATCTTTCTGAAGACTCCCATATATATCTATAATATTCTGAGATTTGAAGCATATGTGCCCGAAAGCTGAGATAAACTTTGAGAAGTACAGTACAGTACTCTAGGCTTCGCCGTAGACTCAGAATGGCAATAATAAAATATCTGAATGCAGCTGGAAAAATCCTTTATAAAACTGGTGTTACCGTGAGCCAAATGGGAGAGACTAAAACACTCTGAGTAGCCAAGGCAGGTAGTGTGGTCATGAGGACTGTATAAAGACCTAGATAAATAGAAGACCCAGAACTTAAACTGGTAATGAGGGAAATCCACACTATTATGTTAAGGACCAGTTCTTATTGAAATCATTCAGGCTACGTCTACACTACGAGCTTTCTCGGCAAAAAATATGCTAATGAGGGACTCATTTGCATGAGTTGGGATCTCATTTCCATATTTTCTGCTGATCCATTTTTGTGCAAAAACAAGCAGTGTGGACATTTTCTTTTTGTGCAAAAACCCCTTTTTCTGCAAGATCCTTATACTGATCTTGAGGAAAAAGCGTTTTTTGCAGAAAAAGAAAACATCCACACTGCTTGTTTTTGCACAAAAATGGATCAGCAGAAAATATGGAAATGAGATCCCAACTCATGCAAATGAGTCCCTCATTAGCAGGGCTCGACAAATAATGCAATCTACTTGCCCGTGGCGAGTAGATTGCAACCTGGAAGATTGCAACCCGCATGCACAGATCGCCAGACAGCATGGCTGGCGAGCAGGGCTCGCTGTGGTTCGGCGAGCCCTGCTCATTAGCATATTTTTTGCCAAAAAAAGTGTAGTGTAGACGTGGCCTCAGACTAGTATAGACCTGGCCTAAGGGGACAGGACAGACAATGGGCCATAGGGCAAACAGCCACCAAGAGGGGAAGTGACTTGTCCAAGATTACTAGGCAGCAGCCGCTGGGCTGTCATGGAGTTTGCAGCACTCCCAGTCCAGCTGATTGCTTTTCATCTTATCTTTCTATGCTCCACATTCTGCAGCCTGCCTGGGCTGGATCAGGCCCTCAGTATTTTGCAACCCTGGCCACCTTTATCTTCTCACCGATGATTGTACCCCATAAATAATCCCTTTTCTGTTGGGACATTGGCTTTTCAATGAAGTCCTGTTAAGAGAGGTGGGCAAACTCTGGTGCTGGGTTTTGCCTGTATAATGGACCTGGGATGTACCGGAAATGCTTACGTCTGAAAGGCCTGATACTTGACAAGGAATTAAGACTCCTACTAGCAGAAGCGCAGTCTATGAATCACTTGCTCAGACTGAACAGTACTTTGTAACATTAGTAATATCACTGAAGTCTGCTGGGCTACTTGTGAGGTGAGGTATGAATGACGATTTGGGAGAAAGGATATCCTTATCTAGCCCATACTTTAAAACCCTTCCTGCACCCCTTTAATAGCAGTGTGAATCTGTGGTGTGCGTAAACTTTCCTGTTGAAGGTGGCTCCAAGAGATATTTGTAAAGAGCTGATCCCTTTATAACTCTGGGAATGGGGATAAAAGTAGACAAGCCAAGTATGTTGTGTTGTTTAATGGTCATCACAGCTATAATTATTGGCTACGTCTACACTGGCATGATTTTCCAGAAATGCTTTTAACGGAAAAGTTTTCCGTTAAAAGCATTTTTGGAAAAGCATGTTAGATTGGCAGGATGCTTTTCCGCAACAGCACTTTTTGCAGAAAAGCGTCCATGGCCAATCTAGACGCGCTTTTCCGCAAAAAAGCCCCGATCGCCATTTTTGCGATCGGGGCTTTTTTGCGGAAAACTGTACTATGCTGTCTACACTGGCCCTTTTGCGCAAAAGTCTTTCAGAAAAAGACTTTTGCCCGAACGGGAGCAGCATAGTATTTCCAGAAAAGCACTGATGATTTTACATGAGATCGTCAGTGCTTTTCCGGAAATTCAAGTGGCCAGTCTAGACAGCTGGCAAGTTTTTCCGCAAAATCAAATGATTTTACGGAAAAACTTGCCAGTCTAGACACAGCCATTGTGCATAGTCTTTCAGCAAGTAATGGAGGGTTTTTTTGTGATCTCTGGTTTGAGTCCAGCATTCTATGGACGTTCTGATTTCCAACTCTCACGTGAAGTGATATTTAGAATGTTTGTCAATCTTTGAGAACTTCACCACATTCATTCCATGAGGCTGTGTGAAGACTTGGCCAGTGTTCCACAAAGCCCATTATTTGGCTGGTGCTCACAGACTCAGAAAATAAAATAGAAATGCCCATGAGACTACAACTATCTTTTAAATGACTCCACCGAGGTAAAAATCATGGCGAATGCAAATTTGTGTTTAAAACCTTCCTTGATCTGAATGACACCCATATTGCATTGGTGTGAATGACCACAAAAGGTGCAAGGCCTCAGAAGAACCAGGGCTTCAGGTTTGATCTTAAATCACTTCACAGAGATTTTTGTCCTATGAGTTTCTAGCTGAGACAGGTCCACTAGTTTTGTTTGATCATGTGGCAACCATCCCATTCAAACGTCCTGGCTTGAGCCATTCTAAGGTTTCTGAGAGGAAGGCAGTATTTGGAATAATCAAAAGCCGCCGCCATCTGATGGCTGTTTAATGGACTCTATGTGAGGGGCTCCCTTCCCTGCTGTGCTAGTTAGTTTTCTGGCCAAAATGTTCTTCAGAAAATCGAAGGAATGTTCTGTCCCAGTGGCTGTTGCAGCTGCCTGGCTGTAATGAATTAGCTTATGCTTTTTTTCCACATCAGAAATTCCTTCCTTAACTCAGTTATGCCACTTAGGAGAGGTAGGGCAAAACAGACCTATTGAACTTCCCCACGTGTCAGGTACAGCTGAGGGGCTAAAGAGGAAAAGGGGTTAAAACGGTACCCTGCTGCTGCTTCTTGGAGGTTGTCCTTTGGCTTGGATAACAATCAATATTCCATTAAAATCCCCTAAGAGCTCTAGCATCGTTCTCAGATTCTGAAATGTTAACATGAGAGCTGGATCAAACGAAATCACTGCATAGAAGCAGCCCCCAGTTCTGTGGAAATGAGGTTCTGGATCTATCAACGGTACTCAATTCTATCCCTGAATTCTGGGATAACTCAGTCCTGGTTCTGAATTTTACAATATGGGACTGTTACTCGTGTCAGAGAACAAAGTGCCACACCCTCCATTAGTGTTTATTGGGGCAGTGCTGTTGATGCCACTGAAGTTGTGAAGATTTGTAAAAGCTGAAGATCTGGCCTATAGAGTTTTCAAGAGCTTGAAGCTTGTTTCTGGTGACATTCAGCAGCAAGTTGTTAACTCCAGTGCCCTTGTGTTTTGCTGTTCAGGGCACACCACCATAGAGGTTCGAGATGGATGGGCGAGTTTTACGAACCTGGCAATCTCCAGTTCAGGCTCAAACTGGTACCTCATTTTCACTGTTATTTCACCTCCAGGTAAGGACCATTCTGTGTCTCCCCATTGTTCTTGCTTTACCTTAGTCAATGAAAAGCCATTAAAAGCATGTCAGAGACAACATCAGAAGGATCTTTGCATACTCATATGCAAAGCACTGGTCTCACTTCCAGTTTGCTCCTAACAAACTGGAGCACAACCGTGATGGAAAGAGACTGCCACTTGAAAGATTGATTCAAGCTTAGCCATTACAAGTCTGGGTCTAGCACCCCACAGTCATGTGATTATATCAGAATGTGAGTCTTCATTTTTTTGGAAGTAAGTCTCTTGTCCTGACAATGTTGTCTGTCTGAAATTGCAGAGAGCCTGAGACAAGAGCTCTGAACTCCCCCATGCCTCTTAGTGTAGTGTTAAGTTTTCTGGGAGGTGCAAAGGGGCGGCAGGTTGTCAACACCAGCTAACAGAGGACTCTGCGTTCGTGGCAGGAAGAGGAGAGTGCAGATGGCCCAGTCTGACCGCTGAAACAAGTGAACCCTAGATGGTTTTGAGGGAGGAGTTACTGTTTGGGGAGGTTGGAGCTACAATTCAGAAGCAGAGCCATGGGGATCCTGTGTGACGGTGTCTCTAGGACCTTCGATTGCTTTCATCCAGCTCTTTCACAGACTCGAATATTTCACTGACATCACAAATTAGTGTCTAAGCAACTCAGGTGTGTAATGGCCCCACTTTGAGTAAGACTAAATTGTGGCACCCCCTCTGTCTCCTTAAACTATGACCATTTCTGCTGTGCTATCGCGTACAGCCCGATAGAGTTCCTAAGCGCCTTCAGCTCCCATTGCCTGCATTCTCTTTTGCATCAGGGGAGCTTACCTCCCAGCAGGCTCTTGCCTGTGAACTGGAAGCATGGTATGTTGAAAATTCACTGTAAAAGCTACTTCAGGGAAGTTTGAAGATCTTCCCACTGAAGGAAAGTCAAACCTAGATCCCCTTTGTTACGCTGTTAGCTAACAAGGGCTGTGCTGAGAGGTCTTTTCATATGTGCCTGATTTTGACTAATTTAAACCAGAATATTGTACATGTTAACATGCAGCATAAGAAATGCACTCTGAGAAACAGA